TAGAGGACAGAGTGGAACTGCCCACAGGGTCTCCAAGGCTGTCAATCTTCACAGAAGCAAAGCCCAAACCACACCCACTGCCGTGGAGTGGATTCTGACCCACAGCGCCCCTAGAGGACAGAGTGGAACTGCACCACAGGGTCTCCAAGGCAGTCAATCTTTGCAGAAGCAAAGCCCAAACCACACCCACTGCCGTGGAGTCTATTCTGACCCACAGTGCCCCTAGAGGACAGAGTAGAACTGCCCCACAGGGTCTCCAAGGCAGTCAATCTTTGCAGAAGCTGGCTGCCTCATTCCTTCTTCCTCGGGGCGGCTGGTGGGTCCGAAACGCTGACTCTTCAGTTTGTAGCTGAGCACTTTAACCACTGCAGCACCCAGGATCCTTATGTCATGATTATCCCCCCAAATTAACAATAATATTTATCATCATCTAATACCTAGCCCCATCTTCCTTCCAAGGAGTAGCTGGTGGGTTTGAACTGCCAGCTTTCTGGTTAGCCGTCAAATGCCTTAGGCACTATGCTAGAGAGCTCCTAATACCTAGCCATTGTTCAAATTTGTCCAACTGTCTCACAAATATCTTTAAAAACAAAAACATTTTATTTGGAAATAGTTTTAAGCTTATAGAAAAGTTGCAAAAATAAAATAGTACAAGAAGATCCATGTACCCTTTATCCAGATCATATTATCAATCCTTTACCCTATCTGTTTTATTATTAGCCTTCAGAGAGATGCAAGTCAGAACTACCATGAGACCATCTCAGCCCCGTAAAAATGGCACTGATCAATAAAACAGAAAACAACAAATGCTGGCAAGATTGTGGGGTGACTGGAACCCACACACACTGCTGCTGGGATTGTAAAATGGTGCAAGTGGGGAAACGGTATGGATACTTCCTCAAAAAGCTGGAAACAGAAACACCGTCTGATCCAGCAATCCCACTCCTCGGCACACAGCCTGCAGCTGTAAGAGCAGTGACAGGGATAGGCACACACAGACACACCTATGTTCACTGCAGCAGGACTTCCAGAGGTGTAGTGGTTAAGGCATTTGGCTGCTAACCAAAAGGTCAGTGGTTCAAAATCACCAGCAGCTCTGAGGAAGAAAGCTGAGGCAGTCTGCTTCTGTAAAGATTTACAGACTTAGAAACCCAGTGGGGGTTGCTATGAGTCAGAATTGACTCAATGGCAGTGCATTTGGTTTGGTTTGGTTCACTGAAGCATTATTCACAAGAGCAAAAAGATGAAAACACCCTAAGTGCCCATCAAAGGATGAATGGATAAACAAACTGTGGTACATACATACAATGGAATACTACGTAGCTATAAAGAATAATGATGAGTCAGTGAAACACCTTATAACATGGGTAAATCTGAAGGACATTATGCTGAGTGAAATAAGTCAAGCACAAAAGGTCAAATATTGTAGGATCTTACTTTTATAAAAAGACAACAATAGGTATACATACAGAAACCAATGCTCTTTGGTGGGTACCAGGGATGGGATGAGAAAGGAAGAGGAATCACTCTCTAGGTACTAGACACTGGTTAGTTCTGGTGATGGGAAAGGCAACAGCGAATGTCAGTAAAGTGAGCACAACACAACCAAGGTCACTGATGACACCAAGAAATACACAAGATAAAGGACGTCATTGGCAAATGCTACAACATACACAATTTGGCAACAATGGCACTTACAACCAAAACATATGTGAGTGGTTACATGAGCGGATGTGTACATGAGTTTAGAAAGGTTATGTGCCTATCTGTGTGAGTACATAGCTGTAGCTGTAGGCATGTCTGTCTACGTGTGCTGTACATACATGCATGTATATAATAAAACACAGGAGCCCTGGTGGCTCAGTGCCTAAGGCACTTGACTGCTAACTAGAAAACGCTGGCGGTTCAAACCCACCAGCCACTCCTCGGAAGGTTGGGCAATCTACTTCCGTAGTGATACTGCCTTGGAAACCCAAGGAGGGGTCGCTGTGAGTTGGGTCTGACTCGACGGCACGTAACAAGCAACAAACAATTATGCACACGGGGTACAGTGAAACACACCTCCAGATATACCAAATACCTCGCAGGGCTGGTTCACTGGGTTTGAAGGCTTAGGACTATAGTCTCTAGGGACACCTTGGTCAACTGGCACTAAATAGTCTACAAAGATTTAGGTCTACGTTCTGGTTCGGAAGTAGCGCCTGGGATCTTAAAAGCTCGTGAGTGGCCTTCTAAGATGTCACTGTTGGTCTCTCCTCATCTGGAGCAAAAGAGAAAGAAGGGAACCACAGACTCAAAGCAGCAGCTAGTCTACAGGACCAACTACCTCTGCGACCATCCAGAGACCGGAAGAGTCAGCTGGTGCCCGGCTACCACCTCAGGCCATTCTGACGAAGGCCGCAATAAAGTGTCTCAGGCAGAATGGGAGAAAATTGTAGAACAGAACTCAAATTCTTAAAAAAAACCCAAAAAGGCCCAACTTACCAGTCTGGCAGAAACAAGAGGAACCCCTGAAAGTGTCACCCTGAGATTCCCTTTATACTGTGAACTGAAACTACTCCCAGAGGTCACCTTTCAGCTAGGAAACAGACTGGCTCACGGATCAACACCGTGACCCTGAGCACCGCGCTCCTTCTATTGAAACCACCACAAAACTCAATCACCTGTGTCAGACCGAACGGTCAGCGTTCACTCTACAGCGAAGATGAGGAGGCCAGGCTGCGGGTGGGAGTGGGATGGGCGGCAGGGAAGCGAGGATAGTGGAAACAGACCAACCAGGAGAGAAATAACGGGAATGCTGATACAACGTGGACAATGTCACCGAACATCACCTACAGAAATTGGTGAATGGGAATCTACTTTGCTGTATAAACTTTCACCAAAAACTCAAATTAAAAAAAAAAAGTCCTGGTGGAAGAAGGACTGGGCCAGGATTCAGGAGTCACAGTCTGGTCATGAGTGAGGGTGAGGGTGTGTGGGGAGGGACGGAAGCAGAGAGGAGGTGGAGAGAGGTAGGAACAGCAGAGCCAACTGGGCTCCCCCTCAGCGGGGGCGCCCCCTCATGTAGGGAGGGACATGTTGTCGGAGAGTATTTCTGATGAGGGGGCGTAGGGTGGACTGAGTGGGGAACCCCTAACCAGAGGGAAGGAGACTGGTCACTAGGGGCACCAACAGGCATGGTGGGGCTCAGGGGGACCTGGCCCAGGGCAGAGCCACACCACAGAAACAGCCACCAGTTGCTACCTTGAGATTTTATGAATGAAGTTTTCTAGTAAAAGTTGGAGCTCTGGTAGCATAGTGCCTAAGGCACTTAACTGCTAACCAGAAGGCTGGCGGTTCAAACCCACCAGCCACTCCTTGGAAGGAAGGTTGGGCAATCCTACTTCTGTAGTGATACTGCCTCGGAAACCCAAGGAGCGGTCGTTATGAGTCGGGGCCGACTCCACGGCAAATAACAACAACAACAACAGTAAAAGTTAGGGAGCAAAACCACAGACAGAACATAGATCAGAGGTGACCAGGGACTGGGGGTGGGGGTGGGGAGTTTATTCTCAATGGGCATTTCTGCTTGGGGTGATGAAAATGGTTGACAAGTTGATAATGGTGGCAGTTGCCCAATGCTGAGAATGTACTTAATGCTACTGAGCTCACACTTGAAAATGGTGAAAACAGCCAACTGTATGTTACATGGGTTTCTGTCCTCAGTTGACACAGAGTCGGTTCCGACTCATGGCGACCCCACATGTGCACAGTGGAATGTCTCCATGGGTTTTCAATGCTGTCACCTTTCAGAGGCAGACTGCTAGGCCTGTGTCCCCACATACCACTGGATGAGTTCCAATCCCCAACCTCATAGTTGAGCGCTTCACTGTTTGCGCCAACCAGCGGGACTTACATGCATTTTACCACTGTAAATTAAAGACAAACCAAAGAGAAGCCAAAAACAAAAGCCTTATGGGACTATTTAATGCTGCAGGAAATTTTCAAAGTTAAGATTTAAACAGTTGACACTGAATAAACTGCCAATTTTCCCTGTACTCTGCCCACACTTGCAGCATCGTTCAAGTTTGGAGGAAGGGTCCGTGGGGATTGCACAAGGTCAAAGGAGTTGTACCAGGCATCTGACAGCTGCTGGCTGGGGGACCGGGCTGTGCAATTGCACAGCTCTGCCCAGGCCCCATTTTCAAAGTGTGAGTATGTCTGCTCCCGATTTAACCTGTATGACGGTGATGAGGCAACTATTAGTAAGGGCAGTGTGTGAGTTTTCTGATTCTGACCTCTATCTTTTGTGACTTTTAGTATTTTCCCCGTAACATAGAGGACAGGTTGGCAGACACTAGCTAAGAACGGGTTAAGGGGGAGATATTTCAGGACACACAAAAAACTCAAGCAAAATGCTCTCAGAATACATACAGACGTTCACACATGCCTAAGAGCATGTGAGTTTTGGCTAAATAGAATCTGACTGGTAACTGTAAAATCATTGACTTTCATCTCAATGGCAGTCTGCTGGATGCTATGTAAACATTACGTGAAATCTTCATTACTCTTTGCGTGTTTTTCAGATGGATGGTAAAGTGTAGTGAACAAGTGTAATAACAAAGTAAGAAGTTTGTTAATGTAAACAAGAAATCTGAATTGTAGTGAACGAATGTTTAAACAAATGTGATGATAAGACACTGGTGTAACAGAAGTAACCAAGGGTATGGACAAGCTAGCAGAAAAGACAGAACAAGCCTGGTACAGAAAGACAAGATGGGAAAGTGCTGATTATGGAGTAGTAAGGACCAGCAGGACGGCAGTTCATTGCTCAGAGCGCTATCAGAGCCATCTCATGATTCTGACTCCCCAGCGGAGCGGCTAAGGCAAATGTCGTTCCTCGCTGTCTACAGACCGTGCCCAGGTCTGATGGAGGAGACTCCATTTCGAGGCAGCAGTCTTGAGAGTGATCTCACTCTAAACCCACACATTTGCGGTGTGGTACTTTATCTGCTCAGAATACCCAAGGTGTGGGAGAAGTTAAGGTAACAACTGTCAGCAGCCAACGTGGGTGGTAGCTGGCACGTTCTGGGAATCTCTGGTGCAGCGAATCGATCGACTGATTAGCAGCAAAAGCTGTTCGTGTCTGGGGTAACCTCGTGCCGGCCCCTCTGGGTCTCTTCCGTCCAGAGTCTTGAGGCACAGCAGGACTCCTGCCGCCCAAGAGGCCCTAGTTTGCAGTCTAAGCCCATTGGCTCCCTGGGTGGCACCGCTCCTAACTCCCTTGTGGGGTCCAACAGAGCAAACACTGACAATACCATGACCAAACTGAGGAAGGCATCACTACGGGCCTCATCACGAGAACTGGGATCATCCACAGATGTTCCTGACACCAGCTGGTAAGTACTGACTCTGTTTACCTACTCCTGCTTGTGCAAGTCCTTCATGTGTGGAGAAGGCCACCTTGGTTTGTTGATATTCTTATGATATTCTTATGTATTAATAAACCTGACATTGTGGAAAGACACAAATTTTGAGTAGAGTGATCATTCATCACTGCCTGCTCAAAACAAAGAAAATGATTACAGGCCAGTCTCACCTTGAAAATTACACGGATAGTACCGGGGGTCTTCTGATTCCTTCTTGACTGACACTGTGGCTGCCTTCAGTGAAATTCCTTGGAATGCAAAAGAAATTGTAAAATGATGCGTCAGGCCCAAGGCACCAACAGAGGACCACCTCCAGCTAACATTACTGCCAGGCTCTGTTTGGACCCACACAGCAACATTATAATCAGCAAAACAGATTGGGGTTATCAATAGAGAAGGAAAGGAGAAGGGAGGGAGGGAGAGATGGAAGGGGTGGTTCTGGTCTGAGTTCTGGTCTCAGTTTGGGGAATCTTTCCGTTTCAAGATGGTCGGATATACACACGCATTGAATGAAAGACTATAATCATTCTTCCATAGTGGAATGAAATTATTTCAAAGCCTGGGAAATTACATCAGGAAAACCAAAGGCCCCCAAAAGGGGCAGGGGTGGCTGATGCAGAAAGCTCCACCCATCTCTCCCACCCAGTCCCCTTTGGCTTCCCCACCCTTCTTTTCTAGGGGCAGAGTCTAGTTCCCCACCCTCTGCAGCTGGGCCTGGCCATGTGACTTGCTTTGGTCAATGGGATGCAAGCGGGGCTTGAAGAGCCCTTGCTGCTTTTGGAACCTCATCACGATGGGAACAAGCCTGGGCCAGCCTCCTGAAGGAGTTGAGACCACAAGGAGAGAGAGGCCTCAGGCTTTTGAGTTTGGCCATCCCTGGCCATCCAGCCCAGAGAGCTGACTCAGACCAGAGGCTTGCCTAGCCCACCCCCAGGACTGTGAAAAAGAATCATGGGGACAAGCCACTCAATTTGGGGATACTTCTTATAGATAACTGACATAAAACTATACATATAATGTAACCATTAATAATGTTGTTGTTGTTGTTATGTGCCGTTGAGTCAAACCCAACTCATAGCGACCCCTCCTTGGGTTTCTGAGGCAGTATCACTACGGAAGTAGGATTGCCCAACCTTCCTTCCGAGGAGTGGCTGGTGGGTTTGAACCGCCAGCCGTCTGGTTAGCAGGCAAGTGTCTTAGGCACTATGCTACCAGAGCTCCCACCATTAATAATAGTAACAGCAAAAACTGCTGCACTGCTGGGGACTGACCACCTAGCATTACTTCACAAGTTCTGAAGGGTCTCCTGAAACCTGTAACAGCTCTGTTGGTGCAAGGATAGCGCAGCTGGATGTGTAATAGTGTGGTTGCCAAGAAGAAAACTTCAGTAGGAGAACTGAGAAGCAGAATGGACATGGATGAGGGGCATATACATGAAATGGAAGATGAAGGTGAGGAAATTGCTTAGAACGTGGAAGAAAAAGATAACCTGATGGGAAAGAAGAGGGAAAAGTTGACACAAAGAAGCTATCACACGTAAAGAGAGAAAAACGTTACCCATGCGCTTCTCTGCAAATGATCTGGAAGAATTTTCAATGAACTGCTGCACTGCTACCCCTCAAGTGCAGAGAGAATCTGAGGGGTGCAGACATTTTGAGAGGGGAGAGTACAAGGGGGGATACCACCCATCACTGCATCACCTCTAGTGTGAATTTTTCAAAAAATGTCAAGCATGTGTGACTTTTAAATATTTCATAACCAATTTTAATTAAAAGTGCAACTTCCAACTTGATTAGACACTAACAACTCTAACAGAAACATCTGATGAACATGCTCTTTCCTTGTATTTCAAAGACAAATTCCTTCTTTAATGGAGACAATTGAGAGCAGGTTTGACGGCCTAGAACATAGCATTTGAAATGCTCATGAGGCAGATTTTCTGCAGCCTTTCCTCAAGAGAGCAAGGAGAGACAAAGAGAAGTCCACACCCATTTGAGTACCTGCTCCATGTAGCAAGGGGCTACACAAATGTGACAAGAGAGACGACCCCTGGAGGACAAGGTCTGTGATGCTGCGGACAGCTGGAAGCGATCCACACTGCCTTGTGGAACCCACAGTGGAAAGCCACACCGATGGGAGGAAATTTGTGTCCAAACTGAGCCACATCTCCAAAGACAGCCCTCAACAAAGGAGGCCTATTGTAGGCAAGATGAGAAACACTCACGCTGGCTCAACAGCTGGTGAGGAAGAGGGGAGCCCAGGGGCTATGGAAGCCATGGAGGGTCCCCGGGAAGACTGGTAACTGCTCACATCACCTCACATGTCCTCCCTGTTATGTGGAAAAGCCTGTGGGTTGGGGGCTTTAAATTGTCTGTGACTACTCAAGACATGAGCAGGATACATATGAGCTTTGAAAAGCATTCAGGGCTGGAATTCAAGGCTGTTTCTCTCCATGATGCAGTGTTGGTTTTACTTAGAACCATGAAGGAAGACAGGCACCCTTTTTCCTAGACTCTGCCATCAGAGATGGTGCTTCTACTAAGCCCATGCTAACAGGTGGCTGTGAGGGACACAAGCACCCACTGTTGTGTTGAAAGGAGGTGTCCCTTAGGGATGACAAATGAGAAGGAGTGTCGAAATCCTTGGTGGGACAGAGATCAACTCAAAGCAGCCTCCATGTTCTGGGGCAGGAGAAGTGGGCTGGGAATGGCCCACCAAGGAGACTGGTCCACCTCAGGCCTCTGGTTCCTCTCCTGGGGATCCTCCCAAGGCCACCAGGCAAAGGGACTCAAGAAGTGGAAGGACAAACATGAAGCCACTCTGGCGGCGGGAAAGTGCTTAGGAGAAGTACTGCCTTGACTGCTTTAGGGAAACTGGTGGTCTGCCTTCCATTTTACTCTCATTGAAGTCTCTACTTCCTCTTTTTCCATTCCATTTCCTCTTAATATTAAGTATTATTTTTGTTACAGCTTATCATGGATTTTATTCTAACTGGAATTGGAAAACCAAAAGGAAGGAACATGCTTGGCATTTTCTCAAGCTGAAAGAACTAAAGAAAAAATTCAAGCCTCGAGTTGCAATACTGAAGGACTCAAAGGGCCAAATATTGAGTGATGCAGGAAGTATCAAAAGAAGACAGAAGGAATATGCAATCACTGTTCCAAAAAGAAATGGTCAATGTTCAACCATTTCAGGATGTAGCATATGATCAACAACAGATGGTACTGATTATTGTAAAAGTCAAGGAAAGGCTTATCTATGGAAGGAAACTTTCTTTGTTGGTTACCAGGGGTGGAAGGGGAGGGGAGGGGACAGTGTTAGGTAGGTAGAGATAAGTATTGATTTGGGTGGAGAAAGGCAATGTACCGAATGTGAGTGATCAACATGGTGGCATCGAGGAAGAGGAAGACATAGAGAAGTACATGGGAGGTGCAGACAACAAAGATGAACCCTTTTGCACATGCAGTACTGCGTTATCAGTGAAGGCAAACATGGGTATATGGGTGGATAGATGGGTGGACAGGCTGAACTACTAGGTATGCCTATGAAGTGGGGAGTGTACCCAAGACCATGTATAGGGTTAGTAGACAATGGCCCTATAAGTGTATTTGTATGATCTGAATTCCCAGGTTTACAGTAGAACTGACAAGGAACAAAGTTGTAGTCACTTCTTTGTCACAGCCAGCTACCCAGAAGAACTGCACAGTTGAATCTGTGGGCTTGGGAACATAGTCATAGGGGACATCAAGCTCAACTGGCATAACATACTACACAAAACATTGTTCCACCTCCTACTTTGGTGAGTAGCGACTGGGATCTTCAAAATTTGCAAGCAGCCATCTAGATGCAATGATGGGTCTCTCCTTGTCCAGAGCAAAGAAGAATGAAGAAAACCAAAGATTCATGGAAAGAATTAGTCCTAGCAATTGGTACAACATGCGATCTGCAGCCTATACAACTATGGGACCAGAAGAACTAGATGGTGCCTGGCTACCACTGTCAACCACTTGGAGGGGGATCTATGTAGGAGATCCTGGATAGAGAGGGAGAACAATGTGGAACAAAACTCAAAATCATCTGGGGAAAAAAAAAAGGGGGACCAGGTTTGCTGGTCTGATAGAGCCTGGTGGAACCACTGAGACTATAGCTCTTAGCTGCCCATCAGGTCAGGAATTGAACCCACACCTGTGGCTTCCAGCCAAACAAAAGACAGGCATATGAGGTGAACATTTACCTGAGGTAGATACACTCCTTGGAGATAACAATCATGGGAGAAAGAAGGGCTGTTTAGGCACAGGGAGACAGCTCAGGGGGCAGGAGTGCATGGAGGGATGGACACAGAGAAGAGGTGACTATGGGGAGGAAGTGGGAGGGGAGCGGTTGCACTGTGGTAAATTGTAGTCAATGTCATGAGACATGAGTCATGTCATGAGTATGTGAACTGTCTTATGGAAAGTGAATTTGCTCTGTAAATTTTCACCCAAATCACAATTTAAAAAAAAAAAGAACAGATGGTACTGAATGAAGAAGTCCATGATAAACTGAAGGAACTGGCAAAAAACAAGGCTTCAGGAATTGATGGAATACCCACTGACATGTTTCAACAGATGAATGTAATGTTGGAAGCACTCACTTGCCCATGTCAAAAAATTTGGATGACAGCTACCTAGCTAACCGAGTGGAAGAGACACATATTTGTGCCCTTTCCAAAGAAAGGTGATCCGACAGAATGTAGAAATGATCGGACAGGATCATTAATATCACATGCAAGTAAAATTTTGCAGAAGATAATTCAAACATGATTCCAGTAGTACATAGACAGAGATCTGCCAGAAATTCAAGCTGGATTCATAAGACGACGTGGAATGAAGGAAATCACTGGTGATGTCAGATGGATCTTGGCTGAAACCAGAGAATACCAGAAAGATGCTGACCTGTGTTTTATTGACTATGCAAAGGCATTCAACTGTGTGGATCATAACAAGTTATGGATAACATTGCAAAGAACGGGAATTCCAGAACACTTAATTATGCTCACGAGGAACCGTACATAGACCAAGAGTCATTCAAATAGAACAATGTGATACTTAATGGCTTAAAATCAGGAAAGGTGTCCATCAGGGTTGTATCCTTTGATGATATTTATTCAATCTGTATGCTGAGCAAATAATCTGAGAAACTGGATTACAAAAGAACAACATGACATCAGGATTGAAGGAAGACTCATTAACAACCTGCAGCATGCATGTGACACAACGTTGCTTGCTGAAAGTGACAATGACTTGAAGCGCTTACTGATGAAAATCTGACTATAGTCTACAGTATGGATTACACCTCAACATAAGGAAAACAAAAATCCTCACAACTGGACCAATAAACATCAAGATAAATGGTGAAAAGACTGAAGTTGTCAAGAATTTCATTTTTTTATTATTTTTTTTATTGTTATTGTGATTTGGGTGAAAGTTTACAGAGAAAATTCACTTTCCATACAGTGGCTCACATACACTTTTGTCTCATGACATTGACTACAATTTGCCACAATGCAACAGCTTCCATCCTACTTCCTCCCCATAGTTACCTCTCCACTGTGTCCTTCCCTCCCATGCACTCCTGCCCCATGAGCTATCTCTCTGTGCATACACAGCCCTTCCATTCTCCCATGATTTATCTCCCCAAGGAGTATATCTACCTAATGTAAATGTTTAGCTCATATGCCTGTCATTTGTTTGGCTGGAAGCCACAAGAGTGGGTTCAATTCCAGACCTGAAGGGCAACTAGGGGCAACTAGTCTCAGTGGTTCCATCAGGCTCTATCAGAACAAAAAACCTGGTCCTTTTTTTTTTAATGATTTTGAGCTTTGTTCCACATTGTTTTCCCACTCTATCCAGGATCTCCTACAGAGAACCCCATCCAAGTGGTTGACAGTGGTAGCTGGGCACCATCTAGTTCTTCTGGTCTCATAGTTATATATGCTGAGGATCTCACAGTGTACCAATCACTTGGACTATTTCCATGTGTCTTTGGATTTCTTCATTATTCTTTGCTCTGGATGAGGAGAGACCCATTGTTGTATCTAGATGGCCACTTACAAGCTTTTAAGACCCAGTCGCTACTCACCAATGTAGGATGTGGAACAATGTTTTTGTGTAGTATGTTCAAGGATTTCATTTACTTGGACCCACAATCAGTGGCGATGGAAGCAGCAATCACAAAATCAAATGAAATAGAGCACTAGGCAAGTATGCTGTAAAAACCTCTTTAAAGTGTTAAGAAGCAAAGATGTCCTTGAGGACTAAGGTGCACCTGACCCAAGCCATGGTATTTTTAAATGCCTCAAATGCATGTGAAAGCTGGACAATGAATAAGGAAGATTGAAGAAGAATTGATGCCTTAAAATTATGGTGCTGACAAAGAATACTGATTATACCAGGGACTGTCAGAAAAGCAAACAAATCTGTCTTGGAAGAAGTAGAGCCACAATGCTCCTTAGATGCAAGGATGGAGAGACTGTATCTCATGTACTTAGGACATGTTATCAGGAGGACCAGTCCCTGGAGAAGGATGTTACGCTTGGTAGAGGCTCAGCGAGAAGAGAAAGACGCTCAACCAGATGGGATGACAAAGTGGCTACAACAATGGGCTCAAATACAGCAATGATTGTGAGGATGGCACGGGACCGAGCAGCGTTTGGTTCTGTTGGACACAGGGTCACTAGAGTCTGAACCAACTTGACAGCATCTAACAACAACATATTTTGAACTGTTTATTTCATGTTTCTGGAGCTCTGGTGGCGTAGTGCCTAAGGCACTTGACTGCTGACCAGAAGGCTGGCGGTTCAAACCCACCAGCCACTCCTTGGTAGGAAGGCTGGGCAATCTACTTCCATAGTGATACTGCCTTGGAAACCCGAGGAGGGGTCGCTATGAGTTAGATCCGACTCAACAGCACATAACAACAGTGTTTGCTGAAGTAGACCAAAAACCAAACCAATCTCACTGACATCGAGTCAATTTGACTCATAGTGACCCTTCCTTGGGTTTCTGAGGCAGTATCATTACAGAAGTAGATTGCCCAACTTTCCTTCCGAGGAGCGGCTGGTGGGTTTGAACCGCCAGCCTTCTGGTTATCAGTCAAATGCCTTAGGCACTGCACCACCAGAGCTCCTAAAGTAGAGGTTCCCTGTTCTAGATACTAGAGTAAAATGTGATTTTTTGCAAGCAAGGCCCCAGTTGAGGTAAATCAGTGTCCTCATCCCCATTTTTTTAAATCAAACAAAAGAAAGGAGTCAGATGATAACCTACGAAATACGTGATCAAAGTGTCAGTACATACCAGAATCTTCCGTGGGCTCAGTTTTCACTCGGGTGGGGCCACAACTGAAAGGGAAAGGGACCCCTGTTCATGACAAGCTGGGTGAGAGCGACTACGGGGACCACATACACTGTGTTCAATGGCCGGGAACCCTAGGCCATCACACGTCTCCTCCAAATGGCCTCAACGTTAGCATAAACTTTCTGAATGATCAGCTAAAAAGTAAAGTGGTTCACTGAGTAGTCTTACAGCTCTAAACACCTTTTGGATAAAGAATACAAGAACAGGAAGAGTAATGACCCCCCCTTCACAGTGAACACGAGATGGTAACTGGGAGGCACCCGGCCGCCTGCTCAGTCTCCATACAAACCCTGTGCTGAGAAGGGGATGTTGTCATTGGCGCCATCGGAGGTGCCTTTACCTTTCACCTGGCAACGTGGCTACTCTTTTAGCGTCTGGTACCATCACACCGCTACCTGTGCAGGAACAGAAAGACACACGAGCTTCTATTAGTGCCTGGAAATAGGACTAACGTTCCAAAGGTCTGTAAATGGAGAGCAAACAGAAAAAACAGAACACGCCCGGCTCCAGGTCACTGTGGAAGGGTGGTGGGCAAAGATGCCAGCCTCCATGTTCTCTGGGCAGGATGGGGGCAGGGTGGAGAGCAGACCGGGGCCGGAAGGCGTAGGCCCAGATTTGCTACTAAACCTTCTCACGTCTGTTTCCTCAAATGAAATGATGGTTGTGTCAGGATTAACTAACACCTGCCAGGCGCTTAGGAAAGGAGCTCTGGTGGTGCGGTGCCTAAGGCATTTGACTGCTAAACAGAAGATTGGTGGTTCAAACCCAACAGCTGCCCCACAGAAGGAAGACGGGGCAATCTGCTTCCATAAAGATTTACTGCCTTAGAAACCCAATGGAGGTCACTATGAGTTGGAATTGACTTGATGGCAGTGAGGTTTTTTTTAAGTGCTTAGACTAATGCTTGGTGCACAGTAAGCACTCGGTAAGTGTCAGCTGCTATTATTAAATAAGTAGCCCCGGTGGCACAGTGGTTAAGCGCTTTGCTGCTAAGCAAAAGGTCAGAGGTTTGAACCCACCCGCTACCCTGCAGGAGAAAGATGAGGCAGTCTGCTTCCTTAAAGATGTACAGCCTTGAAAACCCTATCTTGGGGTAGTTTTACTGTGTCCTATGGGGTTGCCATGACTTGGGACTGACTCGATGGTGGTGGGTTTGGGTTTTTACTATTTTTCTACAATGAAGACAGATGAAAAAGGACACAGCCTCTCCCTTGAGCCTGTTTAATGTGTGCTAAGGACCACAGGGACCCACCTTCTTCCAGAAGCAGAGTTCAGCCTGTGCTGCTGTGAGGCAGAAGCCCTGAGACATGGTGCCACCCCCACCCCCCGGCGGTGCTCCCTGTGAACTGTGCCATCCCCACCCCGTGCCATCTCATCACTCCAACTGCACAGGCTCAATGTGACACCCTCTCTTGGCCCATTCTTTCAGGAATAACTACGACCCAAGGTTTCCAACTACATCCCAGAATAAATCCCAGGGCAAACATTTGAAAAAATAAGAATGGGGCACAGGCAGGACTTTCAACGCTTCTGGTAAAGTTAGTTTGTTTTTGAGGGGCTCTTGTTTTCATTTTCTTTTCCTAAAACTTTCAACACGGGTGGCTCGCCCACGGCCTCTTCCATGTGGGCTGTCAAGTGCAGTGGGCATCCTGGGAAAACTAACCTGGGGACTGCTCCTCTGGGAAGCCACTTCTCACTAAGCAATTCTAAACCCCCCCCCTGGGGACTCTGGGTGCTTCCTCCAGCTGTCCGGAGGGCACCACAGCCAGCTGGCTCTCTCAGAAGCATGGCTATGGGCACACATGCCAGAGCCCTGACCAGCCTAACAATGCCTTGCCCATGGCTGGTGGTTCATAGCCAGAAAGTGACTCCCAGCACCCACATGCTCCTGTGGACGAAGGTAAGGTGAGTCTCACTGTCCTCCATGGGGGACACAGGGGCTCACCAGCATCCGAGGGGAGTGGGGGTATCTGTCCCTGGACTGCCATGTTCCCTACAATGTCATGATCCCTGCCCTGGAATATCGAGGTTTGCCTCCTCAGGGAGGAGAAAACAAAGAATCAAAAGCCTTTAGGATGCACTGAAAGCTACACTTTGATTCAGGGAAGCAGACGGTTTAGCAACATGGGTGGCCATCACATAGAAGCCTCACTTACCAAGTTCATGTGCTGGGTCCAGGACAGGCCTGTGAGGAAAAGGCAGCACTGTTACCAACACGAAGACTGAACAAGGTGGTCCAGGTAGTCCCTGCTTTTCCACCACGTCACTTTCACACAAGACCTATGTTGGAACCAGTTTTCACGAACCCAAATGTTTACAAAAAAAATATAAAGTGAAGCTAGTGTTCAATGTTTGTTCTGCAATCAGCCTTAAGGAGCTCTGGTGGTGCAGTGCCTGAGGCACTTGACTGCTAACCAGAAGGCTGGCGGTTCAAACCCACCAGCCACTCCTCAGAAGGAAGGCTGGGCAATCTACTTCCGTAGTGATACCACCTCGGAAACCTAAAGAGGGGTCACTATGAGTCGAAATCAACTCGACGGCAGTGAGTTTGGTTTGGTTAAGCCGTTAAGGTGTCAGTGCCCCCCCCCCACTCCCCAGCAACAAGAGCAGCTTCACCAAGCTCCTTCTCCAGGAACCACACTTGACATCTCAGCATCAAGCTGCCACAGCTTTGAACCGTGTGAACTACACTTTAGCGTCAGTTTAGGTTTTATGTGTTACTTGGCATGATTTGGTAGGTTATGTTTTGGGGTCTGGGAACTCTCAAAATTTTTTCCCACATAAAATCATCGCAATTGCTTCTCTGCTTTATGCCATTCTGACGTATGAAAGGTTTCACAGGACCTCTTACTTTCAGATAGCAGGGGGTATGTGGATTAGACACCTGAATCCACCTCCTCTGTCAGCCTGTCACATGGATAACCAGGGGTCTGCATGTTGTTCTGCTGTTGGAAGCCACGCCACCACATCACCCATGGTGACAGGTTTCAGTGAAGCATCTAGACAAACTATGAAGAAAGGCCTGGTGACCAACAGCACACTGTCTAGCTGGCTTGCTTTGGACACATCATCAGGAGGGATCGAGCACTAAAGCGACACCGTGTTTGGGGAACTAGAGGGACCGTGAGGGTGAGGGCGCCCCTCGGTGAGATGGATTCACAGAGTGGCTGCAGTGGTGGCCTCGCACGTGCCCGGGACCGTGAGGACGACGCACACAAGACTGAGCGACATTTCGTTCCATCACACGTGAGGTCACCATGACTGCCAGGAAACTTGATGGCAGCTGGCGCTCTGTCTAACAGCTGCACAGTCAATTCTAAGTGTAACAGGACGCCATTAACTAGGTTAGTTTTTCATTAGTTTAATTAATGTAAACTAATTTAATTAAGCTGCCAGCTGGTCTTTAAATGAACTGACTGCTTTGAGGGGAGACCACACCACCTGTTAATGATGAACGAAATCCCAGCTTTGTTCTCCAGAATCCATTTCAGGGTCGCGAGGTCGTAACTGTCAGGATGTTGGAAGACAACTCCCTCAGGAAGCCCCTGCACGACCACAGCCGACTGGTCTCTCAGCATCTTCTCGTAGGGAACGGGGACCATTGCCGTAGTGCCCAAGGCTTTACCTAGAAGAAGAGGCAGGACGCCTTTAAGAGGTGTGTGCATAAAAGTCCACCTGTCAGCTTCAGCAACAAATACGCGTGGTGACATCTGGCTCTGAAGACACACTGAGAACCTAAGTGTCTTATTCCTCCATATCCCGGGAGAATAGAAGTCCCAACCAAAGAGTCAAAACAGAAAATTTATACTCTGTCTCCAAAAACGGCGAGGAGGCCACATGTTCCGACCTCCTCTAATCCCACAAAAGGAAGACAGGATTACCAGCAGTAACCCAAAGCCTATTCCTACAAGGCCAGACATGCTGCCTCCTTCCAGCCCTTTCTCCAACCGTTCCTCCCAAAGCACCACCACCTCTCTTCTGGGTTCGATAATTCACTGCAGTGGCCACACAGAGCTCACAGATTATGGGGTTTATTAGGGAAGCACCACAGGCTACAAGTTCAGGAAAAATGCTCAGTCTCTCTCCCAGCCCACCATCCCTCAGCCAACAGTCTCTCAGTCTCTTTCCCAGCAGTGCTGGTCCCTCGGTGTTTCACTCAGCAATGCATGTCTCTTGCGTCTCTTTCCCAGCAATACGTGTCTCAGGAGGACGTGTCCCTTTCAGCAGCACATCTTCCTCAACCAGCAGTCAGAGAGAGTTCTGGCTCCAGGAGGCCTCCTTTTGAGCCCGGCAGGGTGGTCAAACTAGCCAATCACAGCATCAGAACTCTAAGCACCTGAGAGAGAGCGGGCGCCTCCCAGAACATTGTTTTGTGCCACTCCCAACAGAAATACTCCAGGTGGACAACTTCAGCAATCAGGAGCTCCTCACTTGCTCATAGAAAATCCCACCTTGGAGTTTACAAAGACTTACGGGGTAGAAAAGCCACACAAAGTAATTTACTATACTGCACTGTCTTATTCTAAAACATTCACAGAAAAGGGGGGAAAAAAGGCCTCATCCTCTGTTTTCTTGGAGGCTGTACAATTTGGGGCATCACCGTGTGCACCCAGAACCACAAAAAGAGCCCCCTTTGGTCACCCCGGATGCTGTCAAAAAAGGATGAGCCCCCCACCCAATTTAACATCACCACATCATTCCACACAAGTCAGGGCAACATTCCTGTTAAAAATTATGAAGTCCAGGGGTAGGTGGGGATGGCCCTGGAGCAGGGGCTGTGGTGGTGTGCGGGTGCTGGGTTGTGGTGGCTGCAGTAACTGTGGGACTGACGAAAGGCTACTGAAGTTCCTGTGTAGAATTTAGTTTCGTAAGATTACAATGGATGGGGAGGAAAAAACTTATGGGGGCTGTGAAGGCCCAGATGCCATGTATGTCAAATTGATATGTTCTGATGGTCATGAATTCCTTGTAAAGAGAGAACAGGCACTAACATTAGGAACGATAAAATCCATGCCTAGTGGCCCAGGTCAGTTTGCTGAGAACAAAACCAATGAGGTCAATTTTAGAGAGGTCCCTTCACATGTGTTATCAAAATTATGCATATATTTTACCTGCAAGGTTTGCTATACTAACAGCTCCAACGAAATTCCCAAATTCCCCATTGCACCTGAAATTGCACTGGGACTGCAGATGGCTGTGAAATTCTTAGATTGTTAAATAAAAGAAATTATAATTAAAATTTAAAAAACTACGAAGTCCACCCAGCCTCAAGTCACCATCTGGTGTTGAGTCAGCCTGTCTGTCTACACTGGCTGATAAGCCCTGAGGTCCCGGAGCCTCATTTCTCACGGAAAAGTATAGGCTGAGACCCAAGATACCCCAAAGTCAAACGTGCACAGTTTGTGTGCGTAACCTGTGGGTTACACAAATGTGTGAAGCTGTCTAGGAATGGTGCCATTGGCCCTAAGATGCCAAGGTGCCTATTATACAGCATCTGAGATTAACACCTGTCCAGTTACCTAGTGATCTAGCTTTTACAAGTTAAGTAGCGGGTCTTCAAAAGCAAGGGAAACCCTCAAAGTGATGGACTGACAGGACAGCCCCGACAACGGATGCAAACAGACCAACAGTCATGAAGATGGTGCTGGCCTGGGTTTCCTCTGCTATACATCAGGTCACTATGAGTCGGAACTGACTCCACAACAACTAACTGGCTTTTAGAAACACATGGGTCTGTGCAGGTGAAAATATTTTGTAGATACCTTTTTAAAAAATCCCCTTCTGAATGCCTGTGGAAAAGCATGGGTAGGCAGAGAGACAAGTGAGGGGTGAGGGTGCTGACTGAACCAACAGTGAGCACAGGCAACGTTCCACTGGCCTTGGTGAGGGGCTCCCAATGGAAGCAAGGAATGAATTCTGGTCGACAGAGAAGGTTCTGACGGATCAGAAGGGACAAAGCTGTCATCTGGAAGAACGTTAATCTGGTACTTAGGAACTGGATGGGCACCTTATGAGACTGTGGATTTTAAAATATTAGAAACATTTTAAATATTCACACAGTAAAGTCAGCTGCGGCACAGTCCGAGGACACGCACATAACGTGCACCGCCACCTACCATAACAGCAGTGGAAACAGTCCAAGGACATGCACATAACGTGCACCGCCACCTACCATAACAGCCGCGGAAACAGTCCTTCACTGCGTTTCGGAGGGTTTCGGTCTCTCCTGAGTCGGCCTGCATCCCCTCCTTGGAGCACGGGGGTTTCATCTCCTGCAGCTCTTCGGCGACGCCTGTGAATGGATGATTGGCACAAAGTCAGTATCCACCCATTTGTACTGCACACTTTCTTCATGTCTGTTTGTTACTGAAAGGAAAGAAGAAAAAAAGGAATGTACGTGAGACGAGATCTTTTAAATAATTTTTTTTAAGGTATTTGCAATGAGCAGGATAATGTCAGAGAGTGATTGATCATCTATTGACAAAGAATCCAACACCTAAAGAAACGTTAGAAATTTGTCTTTTAATTTATTTTATTTATTGTTGTTGTTGAGAATGCATGGGACAGAACATACACCCATGCAACAACATCGACAAGTAAATTCAGCGACTATGTACACACTTCCATTGTGTAACCATTCTTTTCCCCCTTTTCTGAATTGTTCCTCCCCTGTTAAGGTAAACTCATTGCCTCCTAAGTTTCTTATCTAACCTTTCGAGTTGCTGTGGTCAATTTGATCCCCTACAGACAGATCTTAAAAGAACCCAGTGCTTGAGACAGACACTCTTTATGAAGTAAGCTAAAGTATCCTTGGATTTTAAGAAGACTTCAAAGATATTTTTGGTTGAAGGTTTAAAGATGATCTCAGGGCAGTAGTTTTAGTGGTTCAGGATATATTGGAAATTTTTAAGGAAATTGTTTTGCAACAAAATCTTATTAGCTCTATAGTTGAAAAGTATCAGTACTCCTCTAGGGAGACCATCACCACTGAACACATTTGACACTCCTCCCCTGCTACCAACTCCTACTCCAGAAGTTTTGAAACTGATTGTACTGAACAGAAATCACACAGTAATTGAACAGGAAAAATTTTATACAGTGAAACCTGTGAGAGCCAGAACTCGGCAGGATGTTTTGTTTTTCCAGGTCTGGCAAGTTTTCTGCCTTCGACAGGGTGCAGCCCACCACTCTTCCATCACTCTCCACGAAGACCCCCACCTCACAAACACCCAGAAAGTGTTTCCTTTCAGTTTCATATGACTGGAAAAGAAACTAATCCGGTTTATGATTTGCATGTTTATTCACATTATGTACAGATACTTGCCTATACTATTCAGACAAAGATATGGGTAACATTCTCTTTTTAATAAAAAGATCTAATGTCAACTTTGAGTTTGTTTTGTTTTGTTGACAAAATTATTGAAACAATTTTCTAAGTCCATAGCCTTATAAAAAAATTCTTGGTCTCCTCGAACTTCTCTAAACATCTTTCTAAAAGTCTTTCAATGGCTGGAAACCTGTGTTTTACGTAAAGGCCAGGCTCCTCCAGTGGTAGGTCTTCATCACCTCAGTGTCATCTTCAGTGTCTTGTCTCCATCCATCTTGCAAGTCCACGTCTGTGGCAATTCTGTTGTCAACATCAACATAAGATGCGACACTGACCTTCTTCTTTGAAATACCACTATGACTGTCATTTATCATGTTCTTGATAACTGTTTCATTGTGTAGATCGCCACCACTGCCAATAAGGAACCGCAGTCCTTAAAGTATTTTCTTATTGTTTCTTCCTTAATCATTTTGACTAACTGCTTATGAAACGAAATTGTATCAAAGACATTGATCTTACCCAGAATCTCTGATGCATCTTGCACATTTCAATCGTCACAATCACTTTTTGAAGCACGAGGCTCCTGCCGTTTAATATTTTGGATGACGTCACCATCTAGAGGTTGTAGGATTGACATTGTGGATGGTGAGGGAAAAAAAATTAATATTGGACAGGGGCAGTGACTGATGACAAGGAAGCACCGTCAATGGACAGAAGGATGCTTCAACTGCGGTTTTAAATACTCTGTAAAGTGCTCCAGTTCGCCAGGCCTCTTCCTTCCACTTCCATTCTACTGGAAGTTGATTAATACCCATACTCGGGAAGCACAGAGGTTCCTCGCTCTCTCCCCTTCCCCATGGTTTCTCAAATGTCCCATCTGCAAACACAGTCATGAGGATGGTGAGCCACTCTTTCAAAAACTGACTGCAAACATTGCCCCGCTCTTCATTTTTAGGGTCCAATAGGCATTAAAGTAGCATAGTGCCTAAGGCATTTGACTGCTAACCAGAAGGCTGGTGGTTCAAACCCACCAGCCACTCCTCGGAAGGAAAGCTGGGCAATCTACTTCCATAGTGATACTTCCTCGGATACCCAAGGAGGGGTCGCTATGAGTTGGATACAACTCTACAGCAGTGGGTTTTGGGATTAGGCATTAAAGGAGCTCTGGAGGTGTAATAGTTAAGGAAATAGGCTGCTAACCAAAAGGCTGGCAGTTCAAATCCACCTGCAGGAGGAAGATGAGGCAATCTACTTTTGTAAAGATACAGCCTTGGAAACCCATGGTGGTTGCTATGAGTCAAACTGACTGGATGGCAATGGTTGGTTATTTGGCATTCTAGTGGTGCAGTGGTTAAACCATTTGGCTGCTAAGCAAATTGTTGGTGATTTGAACCTACCAGCCACTCGCAGGAGAAAGATGAGGCAGTCAACTCTCACTCATAGAGACCCCTCCTTAGGTTTCTGAGGTGGTATCACTACAGAAGTAGATTGTCCAGTCTTCCTTCTGAGGAGTGGCTGGTGGGTTTGAACCACCAGCCTTCTGGGTAGCAGTCAAGTGCTTTAGGCACTATGCTACCAGAGCTCCTGATGAGGCAGTAGGCTTCTGAAAATACCGCAGCCTTGGAAACCCCGTGGAGCAGTTCTGCTCTGTCTTCTAGGGGTGCTGTGAGTCGGAATTGACCCGGCAGCGGTGGTTTGGTTTTTGGTGTTGGACACGGGCCGTAGTGCAGAGCAGCCTCATCAGCATTTGCAGTGTCTTTAGGATCACATCCCCTTGTGATCTCTTTTAATTTTGGGAACCAGTTGTGAACAACGGTCTTTGTCAACCTTGTCTGGACTCCCTGCAAGCTACACTGCACGTGATTCCATGTTTGAAGTTCTGCTGTTTCCTTTGCCTTTGTTTGAGGATAGGGCCTGAAATGGGAACGTTTTGGGGAGAGGCATGAAGAAACCACTCAACACCAGATTTGTTAATTTCTGGATCATTTACATCTTTTCCTTCTGGACATTTGCATTGGTGCTGCTCCTGTAATTTTTCAATTATTTTATTCTTTTCTTTCAGAACCAAAGAAGCTTGTGTTTTTGCTACTCTTGAACTTGACTACAGCTCCCTTGCTGGTCTTTTTCTCTTTGGCTATTATTTTGACAATGTTTTCTTTCTGAGATAAATTTCCTATTCTCCATGATTGTGAAGGAATAAGCTTTAAAAAAAAGGGGGAGGAAGGAAAAAAAAAAAAAGGGAAATAAGTTCTTACAAAAATCAGGGAACTTATAATCTTCTCAAAATCATGAATATCTCAAACAAAAAGAGAAAAAATGAAAGTTACCAACATTATAGTCCTCTATCAGTGATAAGGAGCTCTGATGGTGTGGTGCCTAAGGCATTTGACTGGTAAACAGAAGGTTGGCAGTTCAAACTCATTAGCTGCTCTGAGGAAGGAAGATGGGGCAATCTACTTCCATAAAGATTTACTGCCTCAGAAACCCAAAGGGGGTCGCTATGAGTTGGAATCGACTCAATATCAGTGAGGGTTTTTCTTTTTTTCCCTATCACTGACTGATAGACTAAGCAGGGAAAAATCAGAAAGGATGCAGATGAACTGAATAATATCATTTCAAATTATGTGCTAAGCCATAAAATAAGTCTCAATAGATTGAATAGGACTGAAATCACACGGAGTATGTTTTTAGATGACAAGAAAGTGTAGGAGAAATAAAAAACAACAGTAACAACAATAAAATCCCCAAAGAATGACCTAAAAGCTCCAAAGATTCAGAAATTAAACAATATGCTTCAAAGTAACCCATGGGTCAAAAAAGAAATTACTCGGGATGTTAGGAGATATTGTGAGTCAAAAGACAATGAATGTATAATCTACCAAAATCTGCATGATGCAGCTAACGCAGAACCTAGAGGGAAAATCATAACCTTAAATAAATATAAGAAGAAAGAAATAAAGTCAATGACCTAAGCTTCTACATCAAGAAGCTAGAAAAGAAAAGTAATTAAACTGAAGGAAAATAAGAAAGAGAAGAGTGGAGATAAATGACAGAGAAACAATAGAGAAAACCAACCAAGCTACTAGTTGGTTCATTGGAAAGACAAGTAAAATAGATGAATCCTGTGGAAAATTATCCAGAAAAGAAGAAAGCACAAAGTATCAATATCAGAAACAAAACAAATACAGATCCTACAGACAGACATTAAAACAATAAAGTAAATATTACAAAGCATTTTATGCCAAAAACATTGACAACTTAGATGAAATAGATAAATGACTTGAAAAATAGAGCTTAGTGATAGGGAGACAAGAAGTAGAAAACGTGAAGAGCACTCTGTCTGAAAAGTTAGCAGCAGCTAGGCAACTTAAAACAATACACCTGTAGTTAAATTTCAAAAAGGACCCCTGGTGGCGCAGTGGTTAAGCTCCAGGCTGCTAACAGAAAAGTCGGTTGTTTGAACCCACCAGCCGTGAGAGATGCAGGATCCTGCTACCGCACAACCCTGGAGACCCAGCGCAGCAGCTCTGCTCCTGTAGGTGGCTGTGGGTTGGAATGCACTTGATGGCCGCAGGTTTTATTGCATTTCAAGGATCAGAAATCCAACTGGCAATTTTATTCAATTAACATCATTAGTTAAGACTACCTTTCTTGTTAAGTATGTATTCACTGTAACATTTAAAAGATTGATTCATTTTTTTAATCTATCTTCTTGACAGTGGAGCTCTGGCAGAGATCTGGTGGAGCAGTGCCTAAGGCATTCGACTGCTAACCAGAAGGCTGGTGGTTCAAACCCACCAGGTACTCCATGGAAGGAAGATGGGGCAATCTACTTCTGTAGAGATTTGCTGCCTTGGAAACCCAAGGAGTCATAATCAATTTGATGGCAGAGTGGCTTTTTTTCCTGATAGTGGAAACCCTAATTTTGGATATGTATGCTATGTTGGAAAGATAGCTAGATCTAGATTTGTCCTGCACTGCAAGAATGCATACATTTTAAAAAATCCCACAGCCATCAAGCCGATTCTGACTCACAGGGACCCTCTAGGACAGAGTAGAACTGCCCCATAAGGTTTCTAAGGCCGTAAATCTTTACGGAAGCAGACTGCCTCATCTTTCTCCTGCAGAGCGGCTGGTGGGTTTGAACTGCCAATCTTTTGATTAGCAGCTGAATGCTTTAGCCACTGCGCCATCAGACCTCCTTAGGAGTGTGCCTGTGTGTGTGCGCGCGCGTGTGCGTACCTGCTACCAATCCTTGGAAATGGATGCTCCTCTCCCGCCCCCAGCCCCACGTCCATCCTTAGAAGGACCCCCGGTAGTGCGGGGGCTGACCACCAGAGCAGGGGGTGATTTTACTGCTGCCTGACAGCAATTTCCCTCCCTGTGCTCCACGGTCACTTATACGCACTAATGCGACCTTTTGGACTCTCGCAACACACACTGGCAAGACCGAAAGTCCTGCTGGAAGAAAAGGGAGAAGGTTTAACTGCGTGACGGTTTTCAGAGAGTCACACTTGTTTTCTGCCACAGCTAACAAGCCCTGGAAGAGTTTTTCCCTTTCCCCTGTGGAGTAAAATGTGTGATTTCTAAAAGGTGGGGTTATTTTAGGCATTGAAGACCATTCACTGTATGTTCTTCAGACGTCTCCCACAAACCAGCGTACAGCTGAGGACAGAGGACACCACACGCTGAGCACGGTTCCCAGACTCAGAATCAAGCAGCTACTCGTCTGGTGCATGTGGGCGGAGGAGGTGGTCAGCACCATTTTTAGGCTAACACCCACGGTACCTGAGATGACACTGAGACATGCATCTTGCCCACGTGCATTCTGATTTCAGATTTATGTCAAGCAAAGAAGCAAATGATTAACACCTACAGTATTTTGCAAAATCATTCTGAAAATCCATCCTGGCGTTTATAAAGGTGCGTCCTTTCTCAGTTCCAGCGACAAACACGTCCGCGTCATACACTGCGATGCAGGCCACTTCGGCCTTGGACTTGGCCAGTTCTTTACACTGGAATAGAAACAAAAAATGACAGACTATAGACAAGGACAGATCCAGACTGGGTGGGGCCTGACAGGCCTGCTTTAAGAATACAAAATTCAACACAAAAGGAATATTTCTTTAAAATAAGAAAAATCACGAAAAAAAAAACCCCACTCAAAACAATTTACCAAGCAAATTCATAAAACCCAGAGAAGAACATAAGATTTTTATTGGCTTCCCGACACGCTCTTCTGACATGCCTTTTTCCTACATTGTTGGCTGCAAACCTTTGATCACCTCTCCAGGACTACAATTTTGTCATATCCCTTTCTTTGGAGAGAATAGAAAGGTCATTTAATATTTCCTCTAGCATTGGTTGACTGATGTTAGGTAGACAGATAGATAGGCAGATAGCTGCCACTGAGTGACCTCAAGTCATGGTGACCTTATGTACAACAGAACAAAATGTGGCCTGGCCCGGTGTCATGCTCACAATCTCCAGTACGTCTGAGTTCATCATTGCAGCGCCTGTGCCAGTCCATCTCACCGAGGGTCTCCCATGCCTTTGCCGGCCCTCTGCTTTACCAAACATAACGTCCTCCTGCAGTGACTGACCCCTCCTGATGGTGTGTCCAGAGCAATCGAGTGGGACCATGTAATGTCTTCATCTGTCAGGTCTCACTGGCTGATTCTCACAAGCAGATCACCAGGCCTTTCTTCCCACTCTTAGTCCGGAAGCCCCACTGAAGCCTGTCCACCACGCATGACCCTGCTGGTGTTTGAAATACCAGTGGCATAGCCTCCAGCCTCACAGCAACCTTTCTGATAGTAATAAACAAACAAAAAATCATAATGACTGAAATAGAATTGCCACACAGAGTTTCCAGCACTGCCACCTTTATGGAAGCAGACTGCCCCATCTTTCATCTGTGGAGCGGCTGGTGGGTCTGAATGGCCCATCTTTTCGTTAGCAGTCAAGTGCTTAAGCACTGTGCCACCAGGATGCAGACAACACAGGCACGCCTGCTGTCCATGGCAGTGCCACGGGTTTATGCCCTACAGACACAAGCATCCTGCTAAATTCTGTTTTGTGTAATTACTATCACAAATGTAAAAATCAACTTACACCAGGTAGTCTAGCAATAAACGTACCTACTTATAGAAGTAACAGTGAGTCACGTGACACATACCACTAAATTAAAACTAAACGGATCCCCAATTCATCTTCCCTTGAGCCAATCCACTCCATCCACATTGACACAGGCGACAGTGGGAGGCACAATAATGACCTCTCACAGCTGTCCAAATCCTAATCTCCAGGACCTATAAAAATGTTTCCTTAGATGGCAAAAGGGATTTGCAGATGTGGATCTTTAGATGAGGAGCTTATCTTGGATTATCTGGGTGGTTTCGATGAAACTATAATAGCCCTTATAAGGAGAGGAGGGAGGTAGAGAGAGATCTAACAATGGAATCAGAGGTCAGTGATGCCACTGCTGAAGGGGTTATGAGCCAAGCATTGTGGGCAGCCTCTAGAAGCAGCCTCTAGAAGCTTCTAGAAAGGCAAGACATGGATTTTCCTCTAGAGCCCCCAGAGGGAATGCAGCCCTGGTGACACCCCGTAACACCTGTTACCTGACTTCTGATTTATAGAAATATAATAAAATTGTGTTGCTTCAAGCCCTTAAGTTTGCAGTAGTGTTTGAATGTTGTATTGTCTTGTAGGAGTAGTAGCACCTGAAGTCCTGTCACTTCAGGAGGAGGAAAAAGAATCGCCATCAGCACAGAGCTGATTCCTATGAGGCAGGGGTCAGACATACCCTCACCCTCTAATCTTTTTACCAATTCTGACACCAGCCGTCCCTCCCATGATACCCTCTACTTCTCTGCTGGGTTCAATAAGCCACTGTAATGGCCACACGGAACTGACAGACCACACATACAGGTAAGTGGTTTATTAAGGAAGTAATAGGGCATAACTCGGGGTCAGGATCAGCAGGCTACAGCTCAGGATCAGGGTCGGGACACATGTAGGCAGAGTCTGGAAGGCCCCCCAAAGTGAAGAACATACCCCACCCTTCTTCAGTACAGGACAGCGCTCTCAGCTCCTCTGGGCCGTGCAAGCAGACAGGGCCTTCCCTGTGCCACGCACGGCCCCTCTCAGCTGTGCGGGCCTCCTCTAAGCCCCCTCAGGACAGGCCTCCTCTTGGGCCTCCGGGCAGGCCTCCTGGCCGTGCACACCTCCTCTCTACTGTGCAGGCCTCTCCACCTTCAGCCTCCCTGCCGCTGGCCTCTCCACGGCTAACTGACCCAGCTCACAGCCAGTGCAGCAGCTGGGTTCAGCTCTCTCAGCTGCACTCCCAGCAGCGGGTGTCTGCTGGCACCACCAGCTCTGTCACAGGGCCCTTTCCGGGTCTGTCACCACTGGCTCTGCAGCAGGGCCCCTTCTGGACTCCTTGTCGTCTTCAGTGTTACAGCACTTGCCTGTCCACAGCTCTTTGCAGAGGCTCCCTGCCGCCTCTCTCTGCTGCTTCTCTCTTCTGGCATCTCTTGCCTTTTCCCCTCCTTCCTTCTTTCAGAAACCTCTGTGGGGCTGGCTGCATAGCTAAGCAAACTCCTTGTTAATTTCAAGGCACGGCCCTCTCAGCAGAACCACAAACTAACCAATCCCCTTGGTGGACCACAATCACTTCATTTGCATATTCTATAGTTTATGGACGCAGTATTTGCACAGTCTGTAATATATCGATTGACCCCTGCAACAGGCATAAAAGAGACCAATCACAGGGCAGGCTGCAGCCCAGGACCACACACACAAAAAAGAACCTTCAAGTTGTTTACAGCTTACCCAGAAAATGTCAATCAACCTGGACAGAAGTAACAAAACTTCGGGTGATCAAAGGTAACTCCTCAGGGCTCAGGGGAAAAAATGCTCTAGCTGTTTTTCCCAAGAACTAAGGCAAAAGGCAATATAAAGGAACTAATATATACATACGTATATGTCTACATATGTTTTTGTTGTTGGTAGGTGCCATAGAGCTGTCTCCGACTCATAGTGACCTTATGCACCGCAGAACGAAACACTGGCTAGTCCTGTGCCAGCCTCACGATCTTTGCTATACTTGAGGCCATCACTGCAGCCACTGGTATTTCACCTAATTGAGGGCCTTCCCATTCTTTGTTGACCCTCCACTTTGCCAACCATGATATCCTTCTCCAGGGAATGGTTCCTTCTGACAACATGACCAAAGTAGGTGAGACAAAGTCTGGCCATTCTCACTTCCAAGAAGCATTCCAGCTGCACTTCTTCCAGGACAGATTTGTTAGTCCTTTTAGCAGACCATGTCACTCTCAGCATTCTTCTCCAACACCACAACTCAAAAGCATCAACTCTTCTTCAGTCTTTATTACTCATTGTCCAGCTCTCACATGCATAAGTTGTTGTTGTTGTTGTTATGTGCCATCAAGTCAGCCCCGACTCATAGTGACCCCTCCTTGGGTTTCTGAGGCAGTATCACTATGGAAGTGGGATTGCCCAACCTTCCTTCCGAGGAGTGGCTGGTGGGTTTGAACCGCCAGCCTTCTGGTTAGCAGTCAAGTGCTTTAGCCACTATGCTACCAGAGGTGATTGAAAATACCATGGCCTGGCTTAAACACATCTCAGTCTTCAAGGAGACGTCTTTGCTCTTCATCACTTGAAACAGGTCTTTTGCAGCAGATTTGCCCAATGCAATACGTCATCTAATGTCTTGACTGCTGCTTCCATTGGTGTTGACTGTAGAACCAAGTAATATGAAGTCCTTGACAACTTCAATTTTTTCTCCATTTATTGTGAAGCTGTTTATTGGATCAGTTTGAGGATTTTTATTTTCTTTATATTGAGATGTAATCCATACTGCAGACTGCAGTCTTTAATCTTCATCAGTAAGCGCTTCAAGTCATCCTCACTTTCAGCAAAGTTGTGTCATCTGTGTGTCGCAGGTTGTTAATGAGTCTTTCTCCAATCCTGATGCCACATTCTTCTTCATGTAATCCAGCTTCTCGGATTATTTGTGCAGCATACAAGTTGAATAAGTATGGTGAAAGGATACAACCTTGACGCATTCCCTTTTTGATTTTGAACCATGCAGTATCCCCTTGTTCTATTTGAATGACAGCTTCCTGATCTATGTACAGATTCCTCATGAGTACAATCAGGTGTTCCAGGATTCCCATTCTTCTCAATGTTATCCATAATTTGTTATGATCCACACAATCAAATGCTTTTGCATGGTCAATAAAACATAAGTAAACATCTTCCTGGTATTCTTTGCATTCAGCCAATATCCATCTGACATCAGCAATGATAGCCCTCTTTTCACGTCTTCTGAATCCAGCTTGCATTTCTGGAAGTTCTCTGTCAATATACTATACCTATCGGCAAAGCTAAAAGAGCTTTGTAACACTGGCTGGAACAGGGCAGAGGCCAAGGCCAGAGAGACGTGTACCTGAGGCATGGCTGAGAAGAAACTGTCCTGATTGAAGACTTGTATCCTGAGTGTTCCTGGACCTGAATTGTAACCTAATGCTTCCCTATTCGTGAGTATTGTCTGTGTGTTCTGTATGGCCACCGCAATGAATTATTCAACCCAGCAAAGAACTAGAGTGCCGTGGCAGGGAAGTTTGATGTCAGAATTGGGAAAAGGGTTGGAGGGTAGTGGCATGTCTGATCTCAGCCTCATCAGAATCAGCCTTGGGCTGGTGCTGCCAATGGTGATTCTGTCTCCCTCTCACGAAGCTAGAGGAGGTCAGAAGATACTGCCACCCTCATGTCCTTTTTGTAACTGGGAAACCAAAAAATTTGTATGACTCGCTGTATTGTGACACTTGCTTTACTGTGGTGCCCTGGGACTGAACTCACAATACCTCTAAGGTGTACCTGGATGTATACACCACATATTGTTTATCCTTTCATCTTCTGGCAGACATAGAGGTGGTTTCAGCCTTTTACTTACTGTGAATGATGCTGCGATCAACTTCGGTGTACG